ATTGAAATCCAGGCCAATTAAAATCCAAGAAATCTGATATTTATGCAATATAAAATCCAGGCAATTTGAAATTCAGGCAAATTGAAATTTATGCCATTTAAAATACAGGGAATTTAAAATCCAGTGAATTTGAAATTTATGCAATATAAAATCCAGGCAATTTAAAATGTATGCTATTTGAAATCCAAGCCAATTGAAATCCAAGGAATTTGAAATTTATGCAATATAAAATCCAGGCAATGTGAAATCCAGACCAACTGAAATCCAAGGAATTTGAAATCCAGGCTATTTGAAATCCAAGGAATTTGGAATCCAGACAATTTGAAATTTATGCAATATAAAATTCAGCCAATGTAAAATTCTGGCCAATTGAAATCCAAAAAAAATGAAACGTCTGAAATATAAAATCCAAGCAATTTGAAATTTATGCAATATAAAATCCAGGCAATTTGAAATTCAGGCAAATTGAAATCCAGGCAATATGAAATCCAGGCCAATTAAAATCCAAGAAATTTGATATTTATGCAATATAAAATTCAGGAAATTTGAAATCCAGGCAACTTGAAATCCAAGGAATTTGGAATCCAGACAATTTGAAATTTATGCAATATAAAATTCAGCCAATGTAAAATTCTGGCCAATTGAAATCCAAAAAAAATGAAACGTCTGAAATATAAAATCCAAGCAATTTGAAATTTATGCAATATAAAATCCAGGCAATTTGAAATTCAGGCAAATTGAAATCCAGGCAATATGAAATCCAGGCCAATTAAAATCCAAGAAATTTGATATTTATGTTATATAAAATTCAGGAAATTTGTAATCTAGGAAATGTAAAATTCTGGCCAATTGAAATCCAAAAAAAAATGAAATTTATGCAATATAAAATCCAGGAAAATCGAAATCCAGAAAATGTGAAATTCAGGCCAAATAAATTCCAAGAAATTTGAGATTTATGCAATATAAAATCCAGGCCAATTAATTGAAATCCAGGCAATATAAAATCCAGGCCAATTAAAATCCAAGAAATTTGATATTTATGCAATATAAAATTCAGGAAATTTGAAATCCAGGCAACTTGAAATCCAAGGAATTTGAAACTTATGCAATATAAAATCCAGGCAATTTGTAATTTATGCAATCTAAAATCCAGGCAATTTGCAATATAAGGAATTTGAAATTTATGCAATATAAAATCCTTGCAACTTGAAATCCAGGCAATGTGAAATTTAGGCAAAATTAATCCAGACAATTTGGAATTTATGCAATATAAAATCCAGGCAATTTGAAATCCAGGCCAATTAAAATCCAGGAAATTTAAAATTCAGGCAATATAAAATCCAGGCAATTTAAAATCTATGAATTTGAAATCCATCCATTTAGGTTTTTCTATGAAATTTCTAAACTAGACTACGACAAAATAAGAATTTGTTTGTCAAGAGGGTGAAAATTTAGGGTTGATATTATTATATCATGTATTTTTTTGATAATTCTCATATGAATTAAATTATTTCAATTATATATGTTTATAATTTATATTAATTATACAATTATTCATTTCTCCGAAGTCGACATTGATTCCCCAAATATTTTTCGAAAAATCTCAAAGGACACGCCATATACATATTTATTTAACGAATGATTTATCGATTGAACAATGAGTTCTAAGAATTGCATAATTCAGTAAATAAATATATTATATTTAAGTGTATATATATATTTACAATGTAAATTTACTATAAATAAATTATTTTGAACGTATTTCATATGAAATGAATGACCTTTACGTAATAATTGTATGTATATATGTATGTATGTATGGCGGGCAAGTACCGTAACATTGCCTTGATTTTATGTATCAAGAATATTAATTAATGATATTATTGTGCGTATTTATATTGGTAATTATAAAAAACAGTAAAACCCCGTTAAGACGATTTTTTGGAGACCGGCCAAAAATGCGTGTTATGCGAGACAGAGTATATTAGAAAATGCATGGCGTATTATGCTAGAACTTGTATAAAACATTATTGTCTTCTACTGCATACATTTTTTATAATTTTATTTTTCTGAATTAATTTTATTTTTCGAATTCTATTCAAAAAGTCCTTTCAAATGATACCCCACATGCCATAAAATATACAATCTAAAATTTTTGAAGTAAAACTTCTTTAAGCTCGTTTCCAACGAATTTATTAAATGTGTATATTTTGTGAACAAACCACATATTCAATTTCAGTATTCGGATTCTATTCAAGAAAACCTTTCAAATGATACCCAACATGCCATAAAAAATAATCTGACATTTTTGAAGTAAAACTTCTTTAAGCTTGTTTACTACAAATTCATTACAAGTGTATATTTTGTGCACGAACCACATAGTTAATTTCAAAAATCGAATTCTATTCAAGAAATCCTTTCAAATGATACCTAACATGCCATAAAAAATAATCTGACATTTTTGAAGTAAAACTTCTTTAAGCTCGTTTACTACAAATTCATTAAAAGTGTATATTTTGTGAACAAACCACATATTTAATTTTAGTATTCGAATTATATTCAAAAAGTCCTTTTAAACAATACCCCACATGCCATAAAATATACAAAT